TTAATATGGACACTGAGGGGGCCATGGAATGTTTCTGAATAATCGGGGGTGTCCGTATTAAGCGGGTTGAATTTAGAGAAAATGTAACAGGTTTCTTTCCCCAGGGACAAAGCAAACAGTCCGCAATCACGATGTGTCCAATTAAGCGGGTGTCCGTAAAGAGGGGCTTGAGTGTACAAATATTAGCGAACAATTCTTGCATGGACCACTTGGACAAATAGCAGCAAGGGAAATCCGGATAATGGCTCTCTCTCCCCCGAGAGACTCCCGCTAGGTATCTCAATAAAAATAGCAATAATCGAAAAATAGCAAGCGCGCGGGGGACGATAGGAAGAGGGAAAAGGCTTCTCTTTTTCCCCTTCCCATAGTGCCCGCGCGCTTTCTTTTACTTTCTCCCAGCCTCCCTGCGACGCAAAGAGGCCTGTACAGTTAACATTTGAAATTGAAGGCAAAGCTGATCAGGACAGCCATCCTTAGGATTGGTAATTTATTTGTCCAATATTTCGACTAGACAAAACTACTCTTCATGAGGGGCTGTAAAAGCTACGTGAGAGTAGAATAAACGTTAAACTGTAATCGATCAGCCTTGCCTTCAATTTTAAATACGAATATATCCGAACCTTGAGACAGACACTATTGGTGTCCGTCAAGGACAGGTGTCCATAGGCGTGCAGTGAGAAAGATCTTAAAAAGCAAATAAGGGAAGTGGAGCAACCTTAAAATGGCCAGTAGGGCTGTTCAAAACCTTAACTACAGTCAGTGCAAATGTATAAACATTAACCAACACGCGACCTCAAAGGGTTTTTTCTTCGGTTCAAACATGCGGTTTATTGGTGGACGTCAATCAACCGTTACCATGGTTTTCACGCGTTGTCCAAGAGAAGAACTCGAGCACTCCGAGGAAAATGTCGGTGTTTAAGCTGTTTTTGCAATATTTTGCTACAGGATCTGACATCGCTTCATGTCAAGATTACGAGGAGTACGAATTTGTTGAGTGTTTGTCAGAGGAAACTCAAATTATCGACTTATTTACGCGCTGTAAGTTACAACCACATAAGCTTTCTCAAGACACGCTCGCAAGTCGTCTCAGTCCTTGTTAGTTCTATGAAGAATGGTAACTAGATTTCTGCAGGTTACAAAATTCTTTCTCGAAAAACAACCACCCTCCATTCGTTTCTATGAATTCTACTCCTTGGCAGTTCGTTCACGGCTCCTGTGTTTTCATACAACCAATAAATAAACAACCTGAAAACTTTTACGTAAACTATAGAGAGTGTTTCGGCTATTTCACTCAGGTCGCAGAGACCTCGTTGTTTAGTAACAATGTAATCCCTCAGCTTAATGAAATAATTAAAAACGCAGTCGTCATTCGAAAGTATTACTGCAAGTCTTCGCCCTTTATTCAGCGATGAGGAACCTTCTCTGTCAGAGCGCGTGAGAAAACCATAGAAACAGTTGATTGACGTCCACGAAAACTCTGATTTCAACAGAGAGAAAAAATCCTTCAAGGCCAGGGCGCATGTTAGCACAGGCGGCCCAGACTCTGTGGGAGTTCGTTAAACTTTGAATTTATAAGAGAATGTATGAAAATAAACAAAATAGGTCCTAAATGTTTTTGTTATTTTACTGTCTCTTTGCCTCTAGAGTCATTTGGAAGCCGTTTTATCGACGTTTAAGATTTTGAGCTGTACGAACAACAAGAAATATTTTTCATAGACCTTTGTCACGCGGCGGCCATTTTGTCTCAGGAGATTTAAAAGCCTTGTATATGCACGGCTACCCTCGTAGAGAGAACGAGGCTAGGCGTGCATAAACAAAGCTTTATACTAAAAAAACACAATCCGGTATTTTTGCAACTAACAATCAATCAATCATTTTTTTTAACACGTTACATCAAAGAGCTAAAAACTCGTTCAAAATACGAACGTGTATAAATAAAATCTATAATAATTACAGCTATATAATATTATTCAATTTTAAAGACAACTCAATAAATATATACATATAAAAAACTTGGTAATAAAAACATAAAATATAAAAAGCTAAAACCGACTAAAAAGCCACATACTAAAAAAGTGACTAGGAAAACTATAATACTCGTTCTAAAAACAGTTAAAAGGTACAATCGTGCACTATAAGACACGTTCTAAAAAGCTGCAGTCGTGCAATTTACTTCTGAAGTCGTTAGCATCACTTGAAAGACGCACTTGAGAAGGCAAGCTGTTCCATAACTTAGTTAATGAATAAGTGAAAGAATTCTTCTTAAATTTAAGATTAAAGTTAGGTAATTCCAAATTCAAGCCCTCGCCTCTTAGCCTATACGGTGTATGCCTGTATTTAAAAAGGCTTCCACCGTACCTATGCCTACAAACAAAGGACTGCAGTATTCGAGATGAGGTAATATAAATGCTTTATAAAGTTTTATCATTGCATCATGAGGAAGAAAACGCCTTATTCTTCTCAGTGCAGAGGCCTTCGCGTAGGCTTTCTTTAGTTGATCTGATATGTGTTCTTTATAGGATAGGTCCTTGTCTAGAATAACTCCGAGAATCTTAATAGATCGGAGAAATTCTATTCTAGCATTATTAGGAAATAAAGAATAATGATAGGCACAGGGTCCGACAGATAATGCTTGAGTCTCAGTACTGTTCACTGTTAAATGGTTAGACTCAAACCACGACGAAAGAGTCTGAAGATCTTTGTTGAAGGAAAATTCTGGAATGGTGGGAGATACATCAGACAAGTAGGCAGTCGTATCATCAGCGTACAGCCGCAATGAGACATTAGGAACACAGAAATTCAAGTCATTAATGAATATGTTGAACAGCAACGGCCCCAATAGTGAACCTTGAGGAACGCCAGATTTAACAGTTTTGAAGTTAGAGCATACGCCTTCTAATCTGACACATTGTTGACGACCTAGCAGGTAGGTGGACATCAGTTCCAAGGCATGTGGAGAAAGGCCATAGGCCTTCAACTTCGCGTGCAGAAGGCTGTGGTTTATGACGTCAAACGCTTTGCTCAAGTCCACAGCGACCGCCGCTACAGTTTCCTTGTTATCAATACTGTTCCTCCAATCTTCAGTCATTTTTAGCGATGCAGTGCAGCAAGAGTGAGTTTCATAAAACCAGGTAAGTTTGAGGACAAAACGCTATGAAATGCAGTCCAAGTTTGGTCGTAAATAACTTTCTCAAATACCTTCGATAGCGAAGTTAATATTGAGACATGGCGGTAGTTTGCTTTGTCTGTGTCAATCCCCCGTTTAAAGACAGGAGTAAGGCGCGCTTGCTTCCATTCAGACGGCAATGAGCGATTCAGAAGTTGATCAACTTAGTCACCTCTTCGGCAAGAACTGGGGATCCCAAACGCAAGATTAGTGGTGAAATGCCGTCTACCCCAACTGCCTTTCTCGGATCAAGGTGGGTCTAAGATGTTACGGATATATGAAGTACTGACTAGGGAGTAATTAAACTCACTTGAGAAACTTAGTCTGCTTATTGCCTTGATACTAGGATGGTCAGTGTAGTCAGCGTCAGATCTGCTCTAACTGAATAATATTGGCAAAGTAATCACTTAAGACTTTGGCCACAGACCCAGGGTCGGAAACAACACTACTGCCCTCAACGAGGATGACGCCTTGTATGTTTTTACCAGAACTAGTTGGCAAAAGGGGCTTCATTTTTCTCCAAAATTCGCCCGGATGTCTAGCACTCAAGGAAGCGTCACAGCAGAACCTTTTTCAAAGCGTTGCGCTTTAGCGACGTAACCTTGTTACGTTGCCGCTTATAATCGTCCCAAGAAGTAGATGTAGGATTCCACTTGTGGCGCTCGAATAATTTGTTTCGGTGCGAAATTTCACGCAGCAAATCAGGTGATATCCATGGTAACTGGTCGCCCCGAATCCACTTTTTCTTTAGGTGCACGTGCTGGTCAAGAACATCTTTGAAAAGTGTTCGCCAATGAGCCCATACATCATCGGCATTGTCGAATGTGTAGGCCGAAGACCATGGGACCCTTTTAAAGTCAGCCAAAAAGTCAGGCAACTTAAAATTCTTCATACTCCTAAACTCGATCAAGCGCGGCTTTGGCCTTGAATTCTTATTTTTTCGCACTGTAAAGATCAAGTCGTGATCGCTCAGTCCAAGGTGTAAAGAACCACTTGTAGCATAACATTCCGCGTGACTAGTTAACAAAACATCGATGAGACTTTTAGATGTTTTAGTTACTCTTGTCGGATTATCGATTCGGTTTGAGAGACAGAATCGATTACAAGCAATTATCGTTCTCTTCTTTTAAATACAGTATGCCCCTAATTTTAAAACTTTCTTTATCCAAACCGGATCAAGCACAGTGCTTCGAAAATAAAAAATAAAAAAAATCTTTCTGGCTCATAGACGGCTTTAAAGTGTTGATATGCACTGTATTGCACCCGTTCATAATGAATACGAAATGAATGCAGACACTAAAGTTCATTTTTGCTTTATCTTTTCGGTAAAAAAAAAACAATAAAATAACTTCCAGGTATCTCAGTGATTTCAAAGGACCCATAGTGTCTTACTTCTCTGCTGCATTAAGTTGTAAACAATGGTCGTTCTTTCTAGTGACCCGGCTTTTTTTAGAAACATTGTTGCCCTTGGTGAAGAGTGATACAAGTCCAAAGTTGAATCCGGTAAACCAGCCAAAACGCGAGCAGGAAACGAATCCCAGAGGAATAGATGAAAAAGGATAATAAAAAGTCCAGGCCATTCTAGCAAATTCCGTAAATGTATTTTGCAACTCATAAGGGGCAATTAATCTTCTTTCCACTGAAATAAACAAAGGATGGAGATTAGGCCGCTATGTTGAATTAGGAAATGTCACGACGGCCGCATGTCAACCAATCAGACATTTTTCGCCGATGAAGGAAGTCCCGGGCCACGTGTACTTACATGCAAACTAATCACATGAGAGAATCGATCTAACACTACCCGATCTCGAAATATCTGAACTTAGCGATCATCATGAAAATAATTTGTGCAGGCCTTGGGAAAACTGGTACAAAATCAATCTCCAAAGCTTTGCGTCATCTCGGTTTCACGGTTTTTGACTATGAAGAGCAAGTGTTCGATTTCTTAGATCACTGGGTCGATGTTTTTCAAAATGGTGCCAAGCCAGATGTGAAGCGACTATATCAAGATGTTGATGCGGTGGTGGACGCACCCGGGAATATTTTCTGGGAAGAAATATTAGAAGCCTTTCCTGATAGTCAAGTGATTTTGAGCGAAAGAGATGAAGATTCTTGGCTGAAAAGTCTGACAAATCAACTTGAAGTAGTTTATAGTGTTCCGAAATACCAAAGATTTTACCGTACTATTCTGTCCCCAACGTCAAGGAAAATGGCCTTTGTTAACAACTCGTGGCTTAATTCTGCTCTTGGCACCTCAAATCAGAAGTCAACTTGTGTTATCCGTAAGCGATACCGTGCGCATAACCATCGGGTCAAGTCCCTTGTTCCACCAGAAAAGCTGTTGGTGTACAACGTAAATGAAGGTTGGAAACCACTGTGTGATTTCTTGGGCTGCGAGGTTCCGACAGCTGCCTTCCCTCATGAAAATGTCAAGGGTGAATACTTCAAACTTCTCCTTTCTGCTACAAGATATGGCAAGCAGTGTATCTGGGAAATACAGATGGCAGTGTTTGTAATCCTGTCTGTCATTGTAGCTATTATAGCTACATTTCTTGTCCTTTTTTATAACTACTTTTGACTGGTTACAGACTAAGGCTCTCAACCTTTCTGCTGTATAGAAAAATTTGACGTTGCAAATTCAGAAAAGTCAGACACTCGAAAACACCTTGGAATTGGAAATGATGTATATACAACAACTATTCACGTAGTGGAGGCGAGGTAAACATCCACCACTAGCCATCGACACTCAGCTGGACAATAAGGGGGAATAGTTTTTTTAGTATATACGTACAGTGAGATATATAATTGAGCACAAAAATGATGACTTTTAACGAATTTACTGTTGCCAACGATTACAATTATGGCGCGCAATGACCGAACGGCCGTCGCATTTTCTTGCCGACAAATAAAACTTTTGAAGGCATTTGTTTAGTTCTTTCGGGAAAATTTCGTCAAAAGGATAATTCTCTTTGTCTTAAACTTTGGTATCAAGAGCACAATAAACGATTGTTGTTGTTAAGTCACGCAATGCTCCACCGGAGCGACAGTGAAGCGAATAGCTGGCGTTTTTTTTTTTTTCTTTTTTTGGTGTTATTTTTTTTGGTTTGTACTACTGTCAATTCTAGGAATGAATCATGACAGCAAGTTTTATTTGAGAGCAATCCCCAAAAATGAGCCTTCGGCTGCTGAGTCTAAAGTATAGGTCACATCACTGGTCCATCGATGAATTACTAGAAAGTGATCTGTAAGTTAGACCTGTTAGCTGGAGGGACCTATAAAGGGAGGAGTTTACGATATTTGAACTTCGTATTGTTGTTAATGTTCACACTACAGCATACAATGTACATACCGAAATCCGCTCTGATCGTTTTCACTTGNTTTGTACTACTGTCAATTCTAGGAATGAATCATGACAGCAAGTTTTATTTGAGAGCAATCCCCAAAAATGAGCCTTCGGCTGCTGAGTCTAAAGTATAGGTCACATCACTGGTCCATCGATGAATTACTAGAAAGTGATCTGTAAGTTAGACCTGTTAGCTGGAGGGACCTATAAAGGGAGGAGTTTACGATATTTGAACTTCGTATTGTTGTTAATGTTCACACTACAGCATACAATGTACATACCGAAATCCGCTCTGATCGTTTTCACTTGTTATCGGCTGTTTCCACTGACAGTGCTTCTCTCTCTATTACCAATGGCGCCGAAATACGCGAAATAAAATCGACCATTAGTGAATCTCTCTGCAAGGCTGCGAGGAACAACGAAATACAAATCCAGGAGATCGAGTCAATACTTCTCCTGATCGAGTGAGTTCATTATCGCTTAGAATAGTCGCATAGATGCGCGTTTACGTAACAAATAATGCCACAGGTACACCAAGTTCACGAAAGAAGAAGTTTTTGCGTAACAGAAATATTATGAGAGTTGGTATGGGCATTTTCAGCGAGTTTTAGTTCTGGCATTGCTCTCTCTATCTATGATTATATAATCTTGCATTCTGGGTAGAATGTATTTCTTGGAGGGCTCAATTCATTCGATTGAAGAGAAGGAGTTCAGACTTCAGGAGTAATCATCGTTCATTGCGACAGTGCTGATTCGTATGGTCTAGCCTGCGTAGCAAGCGTGTTCGGCGAGAAAGTAGGGACGAGGGCAAAAAAGAGGAATGAAGGGGGAAGGGGAGGGGAGAGAAGGAAACATGAGAAAATCGGAGGGGTGATAGGCCGAACATCCATGCCGGCGTGAAACCTTGTGTTAACCTTTTATATTTTAGCTCTAACGAGCATGTCCTTTAGGGATTTTCCTTTCTTGTAGGAAATGATAGGTGGTTCTTTAAAAATTTGGCGAAGTAACGGTTGGTTTTGTAAAAGATTCCATTTTTTCATTAAAAAAACCCTTCTTTTTAAGTAGACACTGAGGGTTGGTACTGTGTCAAGAAAGGCCGCAATACTTTGTTTTATTCCTCTTTGTTGTTGTGTTTAGGAATGCAGACTCCCTCTCTGTGAACTTTATATCTGATAGAAGGTTTTCTGCAGCTAGTGTACCAACAACATACAATGTAGACTTAGCACGTGCACGCGTAGTGTGCGGACACAGGATTTGATTGCTCTGGCCAAGATCGAAATCACCGAAAATTTTAGTTCAAAATATGCCCGATACACGTCATTCAAAAACCTCAGTTAGTTCTTTGGCGGCTGAAGTAAATGTTCAAGGAGAGTTTGTAACTCTGGCAACGCTTCGCGAGATGTTACAGATGCAGGAAAGAATGTTCAAGAGCTTCTTTGACTCGATCGTAACTAACGTGAACACTCGCCTCGACTCTTTAACTCATTCAGTAGCCGAGTTAAAAGCAAGAATTGCTAGTTCGGAAAAGGAAACGGGTGATCTGAAAAACAGCCTTGAGTTT